TATATTAATAAAAAAAAGAAAAGAAAAAATGTAGCCGAATGGATTGTAAATGTCCAAAGAGGTTGAAAAAAAAACGGAAAAAAAATGTGACCAATAAGGGTCGCACAAAAAAAAAAAAAAAAAAAAAGAAAAAAAAAGAAGAAGAAAGAACTTCTTCAAAAAGGGCCATTAAAGAGCAACGTTCATGCCATTTTTTAAGAAGCAATTTTTAGCGCCCGTCCCCATCCACCCGTAACTCATAACAAACACCAGTTTATGATACAATCATACACTTAAAAGGTCAATAACACAAAAAATATAAGAGGAAACTTCAGCGGTAAACTCTACTAATTCAATCAACACCACTAAATTGGAAAACCTTCACAGCATATTACTCTCTCAGATGATGTCGTACAAAAATATTTTCATTAATCTTACATAGCATATGACATACCATGATGGCTTCAATCTCCTCTTGAGAGACCGGCGTTCTTTTCGGCTGATCAGAAGCCTTTCCCCCAACTGATGTGCTTGATGGGGCCCTCGAGAAGAACTTATTAACAAGATCTTCATTCTTATGAACATCATCATTTGCAGATATTTCATCAACCTGGCGCGCTACACCTAAAGAATAAGAAAAGAGATTGCCAAGGTAACGATGTAGAATAATTTGGGATTCATGAAGTTTTTCAATGCATCTCATACTTAAGATATTTTTCGAATTCCCAGATCTGTTTAACCTAGTAACAGCTCTTTGGGTAAGATTACAAAGTTCGCTAAATTTTACCACCCAACATTGGATTTCTAAATATTGAGTCAGAACTCAGAACACATTGAAAAACCTCAATCTTTCTCATCTAAATGTTGGAGCCTAAGCGTGTTAAAATCCATAGATTTCTTCCAATTTTCACTAACAAGGAAAAATCTTGTGAACTTTTGGCTAATATAACTACTAGTTACACAAAGGAAATATACATGCTAAGTACTAACCTACAAAGATAAGTTTGCTTTCATTTTGGTCATTATGGCTTCAAATATGCCCACAACTTCCATATACTATCCAATTCACATGACCATATTTAATTTCTCAAGCATATTCATACCATATCTTCAAGAAAAGAGGCAACTAATAACCACCCGAGTTGAGGCAAATAACCAATACTATGTACAAACGCCAAACTATACACAAAGATTTCAACTTTCACCCTAAATCACAAAAAAACACAAACAATATCGTTATGGGGACTCTGGAAAAGGATCGAAACATCTGGGTACGCTCGAGAAATCAGAAGATTGGGACAGTAGTTAACAAAAACGATTACGCAAGTAAAATTAATTTCGTCCACAAATCAAGTACTCCATAGAACAGCAGTGATAGAATTGTGAAGAAGATGATGCATATATACCAGAGGGTTTGTGATGCCTTGGAGGAAATGTGATACGAGGGATTCTCTTCATCGCCTGGCCCGCCCCCATTTCTCCCTTTGCGTGTGTCTGAACTGTGAATATTTTTTTTCTTTTCTCGTCTGCTTCCTTGGTTTCTTTTCCAGCAAATACTTTAGACTAAATTGCAAACTACGTCCACCAGCTATTGTTTATGTCAAACGAGGACACTATTTTTAGACTACTGGCAACACAACACCTAGGTGTTAATTTTTGAATTTATAATAAATTATTTGCGTAAATAAAAAATTTAATTTCTAACGACACCCATAAGTTTTAAGAATCACTTACTTATATTATTATAACTTGTATGTCAGAATTCCATGGGCTAGCCCAAGAGGTGTATGATTCACATAGGTGATTCGACCCCAACCCATCCAGGCCACAACTCGAGCCCACGTCGTGAACATAAAGGCCTAAGGGTCCTCGACTAGCATTGTGCCAATCTTTTGCCAAATTGACTATCGATCCACCTGTTAGCAGTTTTTGTCGATCTCTCTGCAAAATGTAAATGAGAATCGAAAAAACGACTGCCTAGGCGGTCCCGTCATCAAAAGCTAGAATAAGGATCCTATCATCAAAAGTCATATTTTTGCATGGAAACACGTGTCAATCACCTAACTTCTAAGTTGACATACGACCATCATTATTTTCCACTTTATTCATGCATAAATGAAACACTTAGTATTTCAGAAAAACACAAGCAAATACTCTCTAACACAATCACAATTCCTCCTAATTTGTTTCTCTGCGTCGATCTCATACGCCATTGACGATCTCTCTCATAACCATTACATATAATAAGCTCATTTCATATAATAATCACACGATACACATCTATTTACGCTGGTAACCAAGCATTGTCAACAAATTGGCGCTAGAGGAAGGGCACAATCAAGAGTTTAAGTGAATCTTCACATCCTTAACTTACATCTTTATAACAATCATGTTCCCTTCAAACTACTCTAGCAGTCAATATGAGGGCAATTCCGACCCTCATCCTGACATTACACAAAATTTTAAAATTCTACAACCTTAACAAACTATTTTCCCAAATGCTACGCAACAATGCCCTTAACAATCCTCAACAAAATCCTAATCTACAAAAATCACTTTAAAGCCATGTCTCATTGTCCCAAGAAGGACACTCTCACAAGAAAAATGAGTCGGTAACGACAAACAGAAGTCTTATCCTCAAAAGGATCGAGAAAGCATGGGCGAAAACCATGCTCACTAGGGGGCCAACATGAGCTCCAACTTCAGATCGATATTCAACCAGTTAGGTAACAAACACAAACAAGAAGATCTCCAACAACAAATCACAAAAAGAATAATTCATAAAGAAGCTGAGAAGATTGCCTCGTTGAAACAACGAGTAGTAGAGCTTGAAGCCCGACAAAACTTGGAAACGGACAATTGGCCGACCTCCAATCCTCACTCATCTCTAGAAGGTGTTTCTACCGATCCCACTTCCTCACTGGTACGTAAAAAACCTTCGACCGGCTTAGCTCAAGCTGATCTGCTTTCTCGCCAGTGAACAACTTTCAAGACCTGCAAAAACTCAATACCGGGAGGTTTTCCAATAAGAACCTCCAATGCCTAAGTTAGAAGATGATGAATAGTGTATTTTCAGTAGTAAAAGTGTCAAGAGAGAGAACTAACCTACCATATCCCTTTATATAGAGGTATGGTGTCTTATTCACCAAGTTTGCCCGGAGGGATGACCCAGCTGCCCGGGCTGCTCGTCCGTATGACCTGCACTATCCCTGAAATTCAGTTCTAGCCATTGATGTGTGTAGAATCAATACTCTATATTTTGAAATTTACATTAATTACATAAAAACTTATTACATTAAAATAATTATATAATAACAAGATCAGTTGAACGGCGTTGACCGGCGGCCAACAACCGTTAACTAGTAACCAATGTTGATCAGTGATCAACGGTGTTGACAAACTGCACATTTAGTTCATACATAATGCATGTTTAGTTTATATATCATACATGTTTAGTTATTAGATTGAAAACTGTTATATTTATCATATTCTTTTTATCATCTACTTGTATATTCGACCTCTAAAGCTGTGTCCTGTTACCAACAAAGTGTTCTTGCCTATATCTTGCGGGTCACTAACTTGTTCCTTTCAAATATTATTAATAGCCTTATAAATTTATTAACAATAACCATAATTGCCTATATCTTATTTTTACCTAAATGTAGGTAATATGTGCGGATGACGAATACAAAAACTTAAGTATCTTTCAACTAACAAGATTAAGGCATTAACAAAAACATATTACCATTCACATTTCTTTACTTGTTTTATTAGAAGAAGCTCGCGACATTGGTCCAATTCTTCTTTCTAACCTTGAGCCTGTCAAACACACACACACACACATACATGCACTAAACACACACTAATAAAACATGTTGAAGCTACATACGCATGAAAAAAATCTTTTCCCATGAGTGAAGGATGAATCGGGCAATCGATTCTTCACCAACTTAGGAAAGAAATGATAAAAGGGAAACAAGCAAACCGAGACTAAGAACAAACAGAAAAGCTAAGTATTGTTTGAAATTGGGGGAAAATGAGAAGGTGGGAGATTGCGCATTTGATCGAGGGTAGGCTTGTTGGAATTCCCTATGGTGCTGCTTTTGTGCTCGACCAATTTGTGTTTAACTTAATTATAATAAAACACGAAAAATTTCATTAGGACACATAGAAGGCTTTTAAGTTATCAAGGATTAGCATTCTTGGCCATTGACCGGCGTTAATACTTAGTTTAGAAAATGACATATAGTACACACTTGATTTATACATAATGCATGACTAGTTCATACATAATACATACTTAGCTAATATCAATTGTAGTTCATACATATTACATAATGCATACTTAGTTGATATCAATTGCATATTTTGATAGGAACAGTGCAAGTTTTATAATTGCACATTTAGTTCATATACAAGAGATAATTAAAATTAAATGCAAGCCGCCGTTGGTAAATGTCCGTGGTCTACAGCAGCGATCAATCAATATTTGAATAATTAAAAAAAAAAATCTTGATTTGTCCACTAATTAATAGATGTGATTGGGTCTCAACAGCAATTCCATCTCGTATTCCCATAATTAAAAATTGACTAATTTGATCCAATCCATTTATATATAATTATATATAAACACACACAAGACATAAAATGGTATTATAAAATGGGAAAAAAAATGAATAATAATGTTGCATATATAACAAAATACATAAATTTCGAATTTCGGTAGTACTAAAATTGTACTCAATGAACAGCAAGTCACAATATTATCAAGTGTCTTCTTCACTAATGTCGAATGAATATTTTGAACAATATTTCATATAAGGTTCACATGTAACTTGATACATGGGCAATTCAATCCAAATTACTAAGTAATGATAGGTGGGCACATCCAAACAAGCAAATGCAAAGCTGCAAAATCACTTGCACGAATAATGGACTTTACCATTGTCAAAGTAGCTATTTCAAGAACTATCCTTGACAAATAATTGTCATTTACTTCCGCCAAAAGAGAG